CGTGTTGTGGCCTACGCCAGCAAAACAATGGCAGGCCCTGAATTACGGTATTCAGACTGTGAGAAGGCTCTATTGACCACTGTGTGGGCAGTGAAACATTTCTCCTGCTATATTGGTGGACAGAGGATCTTTGTTGAGACACAACACCAGCCAGTAACGTTTCTGAACAGCCAACGCATCAGAGATGGTGTGGTGACAAACTCACGTGTTGCAACCTGGCTTATGGCACTTCAAAGTTTTAACCTAGACATCCGCTACGGTCAAAATAAGAAGTCACACTTGGGCACTGATTTGGCAATCTGCCAGGAATGTACACAGGATGTACCAGCCACCCAACAGCCGGTTGTGAGCAAACCCTCAGCTGCTGAGGACCCAAATCACCACTTCTTTGATGGCAATATCTGTAAAGATATGGCGACATTGTACGTGGATGGATGCTCATTCCACCACTGCTTCAAGCCAACTTCCTGTTGGAATCTGATAAGTATCTCAAAATCGCAACCTTTTTTCTGAACTTTGGCCTTGGTTGTCGTCAGGAACTGTTTAAAAACTCACTACTATTCAGTAGCTTTCAACACCAGATGATGTGTTTTGATCCTGTATGCTCCACACTGGTTTGTTGTCATTATCTGCATCGTTTTTCTGTCTATATTCTGATTTACCTCATTTTGTATGTTGCTTTGTGTGTTACCTGTTGTTCTGTCTGTACAGCACTTTGGTTGGCCTTGTCGCTGTTTTAAGTGCTTTATAAATAAAGGGGTATGGTATAGGCTGTTTCTGTGAGTAACAAGTTGTCCATCTGGTCTAAAACATTTGGTTGTTGTACATGATGATTGGTTGTTTGCATGTGTTAAAAGCCTACTTTTGAGATTTCAACAGGAGGTTGTCTTGAAACACAGCAGTGAAGGCTACCTATGGGACAGATCTGGTTGGCAGGCCAAAGACTGAGGAAGTCCTCTGGATGGGTGACAAAACATTTCTTCACTTAAAGAAACTGGTCCAGATGACACCATTTAACCTTTTTTGTTAATTTATGAGTTACTGCACGGGTTTTAATGGAGTTTTTAAGATGGCCGTCACAGCACAAATTATTCTTACAAACACAAAAATGGCTATACCTCAGCCGTTTTAACAGAGACTGGGCTACAATTTGGTACGGAAGTAGCTGAGAGCCATTCACAACATGTTTTCTAAGCACTAGCAGATCACGCAAGACATCACAATATTGCATAGGAAAGATTGAACTAATCAGCTGTTACTCCTTCATTTCTTAATTTTATAAAATAATCTTAGTCTAAAAGAGAAAGTGGTGGAGCAGAGGCTAGAGAAGGTGGGCCTGCAATCTGAAGGTCAATGGTTCAACTCCCCAGACCAACAACATCAAAATGTGGGTGGGAAAGGTGAAACACCCACACCTATCTTCACCCTCCGAACACACTCGGCATACCACTCGTTGATTTCTGGGTTTTTGTGTGTTTTCATTCGCAGAGAGAGTTGTACCAGCGTGTGTTTGAAAAATGTCCAGATCGTTACTCAGACTTTTCCCGCCTGGCCCGGATCCTGACAGGAAACAGCATTGCCCTGGTGCTGGGTGGTGGAGGTGCCAGGTACTGTCCCTTTAAACACTAACTCAAAGAGCAGATTAGCAAGTAATTACATGTTCTGTTTGCTTTGTTGCCGAGTAGCATCACTTAATAAACATGTAATGCAGCATGAGCATCTTAATTCAACTCAGAGAGGTTATTATTGAAAAGTGCACGTCAGGTTATGGCTACTAAAATATTTGCATGTCTATAAACATCCCAAGGATTCGTTAAAATAATAATCAAGAAATGAAAGGATTATGCAGGCTGTCCTGAAACTGAGCAACTGTACAAGAAGGAGAATAGTGAGAGAGAGAGACGTGCGAGCACTCAGAAGGAGCTACGAGCTACAGGTGCTGAGAGACACTGAGCATACAACAACTGTTTCCCTGAGTTCTTCACCAGTCTAAGGTTTGACAGAGAACCCACTGAACCTTGACCACAGTTGGTCTGGATTGTTTCATCTCTAGTCAAGATTTAATGTGGTATTACAAAAAATATTGCATATTTGTATTACTCTAAAGAAATTTGATTTCACTTTGACAGTTTTTGTTGTTGTTGCCAAAAATCACCATCTCTTTTGACCATGATAGATTTATGACAGCAATAAAGCCTAAAACATCCCAAGGAGTAAAACCCATTTATAAGAACTGTACATTTTGCACACGATCTTTACCTAAATTTCAACATTATCTGTTGTAATGAACCCTGTCTGTCTGTTAGCAAAATATCTCATGAACCACTTGATGGAATTAATAAAGCTTTCAGGAAACACTGACATGATTTACCTTTGTAGATGATAAACCTTTGGCACAACCTATGTCTAAATTGCAGCAACTGCTAACTGACCTTAAAAAACACATAAATGGCTATAATTCAGTCAATTGTATAGATGTTCTCAAATTTGATGTGGTAGTAGCTGAGAGTCGTGCACAACACATACTCTGAGTGCTAACAGATCGCACAAAATCTTGCAGTCTTGCACATAATCGTTCATAAACTTGTTTATTAGATTTGACCAAAACTTTTACAGCTCATTTTTCAACATTTTAGTTTGAAGTAGTAAAGGCACTGTACTTATACAGCGCCTTTCTATTTGATCAAGATACTCAAAGCTCTTTACAACAACCTGTGCCTCATTTACCCATTCATACAGCTCTATACTAGATCTCTACAAAGATTAATCAGTGCTTTTAGATCACATTCATACACTGATGGGACACACATCAGAGGCAATGAGGGGTTCAGTGTCTTGCCCAGGGACACTTAGGCATGTGACTGCTGGTGGAATCAAACCCCCAACTCTCCCATTGGAGGACGACTGCTCTAACCACTCAGCCACAGCCGTCCCGAGTTTTAAACTCTGACATGAAAGAGAGTGGGTCATGTGTGTTCCTTAAAGGAATGGCCTTTCATTTAGATGCTTTTATTTTTCAGACGTGAACTTCTGAGTGTATGTTTGCTTCCTGTTTATAATTGTTTGTTTTACTGTGGTACTTTTTTGCAGCAGGACATTTGTTGATTGGTTGTGTAGCGAACAGATAACGACTGTTTCTTTTCTTATCTTACTCTTTTCCCTACTCTGCTCTGGCTTGCTCCTGGAGCTTTGACAAGGTAGGGGTTGTCCTGTCAGCCATGACCCCAGAGGGTCACATGACTCCAGTCACATGGTGCTTTTACATGCGCTTTTTGTAGAAGTTGTGTGATTTCTGCTGTCAGTGTGAGGGGTTGTTGTTTGTTTGCCACCAAATTATCAGTTTTAGCAACATGGCAGAAACCTTCTGTAGCATTATATTTATTTTTTAAATCACTACAACTAACAAATAAAAAAGTTATTTTATGCCAACACAGCCGCCTGTTTCCCAGTTCTCCAAACACATTCATAGTCACTGATTATGTATTTAAACAACCTAATGTTTTCCATGTCTCAAAATTATGTAACTACAACTTCAGATGAACACCAACATGGCACATACAGTGAGGAAAATAAGTATTTGAACACCCTGCGACTTTGCAAGTTCTCACACTTAGAAATCATGGAGGGGTCTGAAATTATCATTTTAGGTTCATGTCCACTGTGAGAGACATGATCTAAAAAAGAAAATCTAGAAATCACAATGTATGATTTTTTACTAATTTATTTGTTTGTTACTGCTGCAAATAAGTATTTGAACACCTGTGAAAATCAATGTTAATATTTGGTACAGCATCTTTGTTTGCAGTTACAGAGGTCAAATGTTTTCTGTAGTTTTTCACCAGGTTTACTGCAGCAGAGATTTTGGTCCATTCCTCCACACATCTTCTCTAGATCAGCAGGTTTCTGGGCTGTTGCTGAGAAACACGGAATTTGAGCTCCCTACAAAAATTTCTATAGGGTTTAGGTCTGGAGACTGGCTAGGCCACTCCAGAACCTTGATATGCTTCTTACGGAGCCACTCCTTGGTTCTCCTGGCTGTGTGCTTTGGGTCATTGTCATGTTGGAAGACCCAGCCACGACCCATCTTCAATGATCTAACTGAGGGAAGGAGGTTGTTCCCCAGAATCTCTCAATACATGGTCCTGGTCATCCTCTCCTTAATACAGTGCAGTCGTCCTGTCCCATGTGAAGAAAAACACCCCAAAGCATGATGCTTCCACCCCCATGCTTCACAGTAGGGACGGTGTTTTTGGGATGGTACTCATCATTCTTCATCCTCCAAACACGGTGAGTGGAATTAAGACCAAAAAGTTCTATTTTGGTCTCATGTGACCACAGAACTTTCTCCCATGACTCCTCTGGATCATCCAAATGGTCATGGGCAAACTTAAGACGGGCCTGGACGTGTGCTGATTTAACCAGGGGAACCTTCCGTGCCGTGCATGATTTGAAACTGATGTCTTAGTGTATTACCCACAGTAACCATGGAAACAGTGGTGCCAGCTCTCTTCAGGTCATGGACCAGCTCCTCCCGTGTAGTTCTGGGCTGATTCCTCACCTTTCTTAGGATCATTGATACGTCACGAGGTGAGATCTTGCATGGAGCCCCAGTCCGAGGGAGATTGACAGTCGTGTTTAGCTTCTTCCATTTTCTAATAGTTGCTCCAACAGTTGATCTTTTTTCACCAAGCTACTTGGCAATTGCCTCGTAGCCCTTTCCAGCCTTGTGGAGGTCTACAATTTTGTCTCTGGTGTCTTTGGACAGCTCTTTGGTCTTAGCCATGTTAGTAGTTGGAGTCTTACTGATTGTGTGGGGTGGACAGGTGTCTTTATGCAGCTAACCACCTCAAACAGCTGCTTCTAATTTAGAATAATAAGTGGAGTGGAGGTGGACTTTTTAGAGGAGGACTAACAGGTCTTTGAGGACCAGAACTGTTGCTGATTGGCAGGTGTTCAAATACTTATTTACAGCAGTAACACACAAATTATTTTAAAAATCATACATTGTGATTTCCAGATTTTCTTTTTTAGATTATGTCTCTCACAGTGGACATGCACCTAAGATGAAAATTTCAAACCCCTCCATGATTTCTCAGTGGGAGAACTTGCAAAGACGCAGGGTGTTCAAATACTTATTTTCCTCACTGTATATATATTCCATTCATTCAACCTTTATTTAGACAGGTTAGACAAAGTCAGAGAGGTTTTACTGTCATTTCAGCTATGTACAAGTACATATTGAAATGAAACAGCATTCCCCAGGATCACGGTCCAACACAACATAACGTGCAAAAACAATACAACATACAGTGCAGCTACACAACAGAACAATAAATACAAACAGGCCTATAATAAATGCTAAAAGGCATCTAACCTAATCTAAACAAGTAATTAAGAGACAAGACGAGACACACGGTGACACATCAACATTACCTATACCAGTACCTGTATCTGTACCAATGTACATGTGTAGGTGGTACATGAGGTAGAAACATGTTCTGATATGTGGTTAGCAGCACAAAGTTTTTCTGTGTTTCTTGCATCAGAGATTAAAACTTAGTAAGGTGCAAATATGCAAAAACTTGATCAGATTGCAAAATCGTACGAGTAAAGAAGTCACAAACATTATAGCACATTTAGGTTGTGTGCGTGTCAGAGTCCATCATGAGTGTGTGTGTACTGTATGGTAAATGGTAATGGTAAATGGACTGTACTTATATAGCGCCTTTCTATCTTATTTCAAGATACTCAAAGCGCTTTACACTACAATCTGTGTCCTCATTTACCCATTCATACAGCACTCTACTAGATCTCTACAAAGCTAATTGAACAAATCATTCTAAAAAGACTAATCAGTGCTTTAGATCACACTCATACACTGATGGGACACACATCAGAGACTATGAGGGGTTCAGTGTCTTGCCCAGGGACACTTCGGCATGTGACTGCTGGTGGATTCGAACCCCCAACTCTCGCATTGGAGGACGACTGCTCTAACCACTCAACCACAGCCGCCCCGTACGTATGTACAGTATGTGTGTGTGTCAGAGTGAGTCTCATTGAGCCTCGAGGACTCATTTAGAAGAGATTCCTGTTTTAAACAAAGAACACAGATGAGGTACAGACAATAGACAATCATAAAATGAAAAGTAAATAAAAGAAGTTATATAAAAATTAAACAAAAGCAGCTACATTATAAAGCAATGTAAAATACTAAAAACAGGAACATGTCTGCGATGGTTTTTGCCAGAAACTTAGCAGGTGTTTAAAATTCCTTAGAGAGGTCAAGGTCGAGAGCTCCTGATCATTTTGCAAGATGTTCCAGGAAACAGGAGCGGAGTAGGAGAAGGCCCTTTTGCCAAGGTCCTTTTGGCGGGCGGTTGTGGCTGAGTGGTTAGAGCAGTCGTCCTCCAATGCAAGAGTTGGGGGTTCGAACCCCACAACAGTCACATGCCGAAGTGTCCCTGGGCAAGACACTGAACCCCTTGTTGCCTCCGATGTGTGTCCCATCGGTGTATGGATGTGGTAAATCACTGATTAGTCTTTTTAGAATGATTTGTTCAATTAGCTTTGTGTAGATCTAGTAGAGTGCTGTATGAATGGATAAATGAGGACACAGACTGTAGTAAAGAGCTTTGAGTGTCTTGATAAGATAGAAAGGTGTTATATAAGTACAGTCCATTTACCATTTACCAAGTTCAGTCCGCAATGAGGGAACACTGCAGGTAATAATGTCCCGAGAGCACACGCTGTAGCTTCACTCACGCAGAGACATGTAGGAGGAGATGTATGAAGGCAGCAGACCAAGAAAATATTTAAAGATGAAAATGTACCAATGAGAGAGTCTGTGTGAAGTTAATGATGACCAGTTAACCAGTGAATACTGGGTGCAGTGATGGGTACGATAGTTACAGCCAGTTGTGAATCTTAGTGCACCATGATAGACAGCATCCAACATCTGCAGGGCTTTTGTAGGAGCATTCATGTAAATAATGTCAACCATAGTCAATGGAGGGAAGGAAAGTCACAGTTACAAGGTGTTTCCTAGTGTTAAAAGTTAAACGGGATATATTTCTGAAAAAAAAACCCAGTTTAACTTTCAGTTTATTTTCTTTAAGGCTTAAAAGAGAGATGTGCATCGACCAAAATACCCAAGTATTTGTAGGAATCAACAAACTCAATAGGGGCACCATTCAGAGATAAAATAGAAGGAAGGACTGCTGGAACCAACTTCCTGTTTGAAAACAACATCCCTTTGGGTTTTTTTTTCAGCATTTAGCTCCAGTTTGAGATTGAACTAATTTGACTGGATGATGTCAAATGCAGACTGTAAAAGCTGGAAAACCTTAGCAACTGTTTTAGCTCGACAATAAACCCCTGTGTCGTCAGCATAGAAACGTAAGGATGCATCCAGAATTATCTGGCGTACATTACCTATGCAGATTGTGAAGAGGGTGGGTCCTAAGACTGAACCTTGTGGTACATCATTGTTAAAAGTTAGATAACTGAAAGAAGTACTAATCTGAGAGACAGTTAGAGAACCAACCAATAGTGTGATCTGAGAAACCAATTTCTGATAGTTTATACATGGACCGTCATAATCAAGTGGCTGAAATAGTGTGCAAGAATGTCTGTCCTGAGGTCCTACAGTGAAGAATTGCAGAGCTAAGATTCTGTGGAGATCCAGACTGACAAACAGGTGATGGCTAACTATCCATTGCAGTGATCAACCATCAGGAGAAGAAGGCAGTGGTGATAGATGTAGCAATCCCAAATGACTGTAACATCAGGAAGGAGCAGGAAAAACTTCAAACAATGCCAAGAAGGAATGACATCAGCATTTACCTTATAGAAGCAACCGTAGCTGACCATCAATCTGAGAAAAGTTAAAAGTCGTTTTAAAATTATTTAAAGTCCATCATTCCACAAAGAGACATATTTATGTGTGGAAAACATTTTAGACAGTCGATAATCTTCCCAGGAAAAACAATGATCCCAAACAGAATCCAGAACCTTATTCTGACTAAAGAGTGGTGGGGGATCCTCTGAGAGCGGAACAGTTCAATTCAATTCAGTTTATGTAGCGCCAAATCACATCAAAGTTATCTCAGGGCACTGAACTGTGACATTCACATGCATAGAAAAGTCAATTAGTAAAGTTCTCTATCTAAGGAAGCAGCAGACAAGTTGAATCTTCACTTCATTGCAGTCTCCCATCCTGAGCAAGCACAATGGCAACAGTGGAAAGGAAAAACTCCCTTTTAAAAGGAAGAAACCTCCAACAGAACCAGGCTCAGGACAAGCGGCCATCTGCTTTGTTTGTGACGACAGAAAGGAGAGACAGAAGAACACAGAATAGTAGGTCCAGATATGGGTCCAGGTGTACCTGAAAGACAAAAAAACACATGTTAAGGATAGAAAAAATAATTACAAATACAAAACAGGTTGAGCAGAGTAAGTAAAGACAGTAGCAGAGTGAAAAGTGTGGTCAGTTTGTCCTCCAGCAGTCTAAGCCTATAGCAGCATAACTAAGAGACATCTCAGGAAATCCAAGCCAACCCTAACTATAGGATTTATCAAAAAGGAAAGTCTTAAGTCCAGTCTTAAAACTGGATAATGTGTCAGCCTCAAGGACAGAAACTGGAAGTTGGTTCCACAAGAGAGGAGCCTGATAACTGAAAGATCTGCCTCCCATTCTGTTTTTGTAAATTCTAGGAACCACAAGTAAACCTGCAGCCTGAGAGCGAAGTGCTCTGTTAGGAAAATATGGAACAATAAGATCTGCAATATAAGATGGAACTAGGTTGTTGAGAGCTTTGTTGGTTAGAAGTAGGATTTTGAACAGGAACAGAAACTTCAATGAACTGAAGCAACGGTGACAAGAAGGCTGAGACAAAGTTCTTCCAAAAACATGTGAGAGACCAATAAAATCCTACAAAAATCCACTACTAGGAGTCTATTTACTTCTTCATACTTTAGGGTTATCTTGGTTTAGTTTTAGTATATTATTAATAAAATGTCATATATTATTGTTTGTCTAAGGTGTATCTACATTATTTGATGGCCTGGGATAGAGTAAATAACTTATACGTCTTGATTTTGAAAGTTGGGGGGTGTTTAGGGGGTGTACATTACCATGAACACACTTGTTATTTTATGACTGCTTGTTGCTTCTCTTCAGGAATGACAAGTGATTGGTAACAATATGTCAACTTGTCTAAAAATAAAGTTATTTAATGTGGTAATTTGGTATATGATGGCAAAACACTGAAGAAACTAGAAAATAAAGATTTTTAAAAATGATTTAAATGTGATCGAGATCTAAAACTTTAGGTTTTGACTGTAGTGACTCCAGATGTTAAAAGTCGGTAATTGTGTTTCCAGAGGTTGCTCTCAGGTGGGGATCTTGCGGGCGCTGAACGAAGCCGGGATCCCCATCGACATGGTGTGCGGCACCTCCATCGGCTCCTTCATGGGGGCCCTGTACGCTGAAGAAAAGAGCAGCAGTCGGATGAGGGTTCGAGCACGTGAATGGGCCATGGTGTGTTGATATATAAATGTTATAAACTTTCATTAATAATTCTTTGTCGTCATATTTTTATAGTTTTTTTTTATTATTTCTAAAAGTCTGTTTCCTTTTTGTTATTACATGTTGTTTTCCTTCCTTCCTTCCTTCTTCAGGGTATGACTTCTCACTTTAAGAGGATCTTGGACCTGACCTACCCTGTTACCTCCATGTTTTCTGGAGCCTCTTTTAACTACAGTATTAGCTCTGTCTTTAAGGACAAACAGATTGAGGTAAGTTTGGCACTTTTTGTGGAAAGGTTATGAGCAGTTATTGTCTTGCCTGTTGCAGATATATTCTCAAACAACCTTAGTTTGGAGAAATAAAGTTAATTTCTGACAGGTCCTACAAGCTATAGGTTAATTCAAGCAGGACAAAGACTAAAATAAATTGCTGCTATCTTAAAACAACTCCATCCATCCATCCATTTTCTTCCGCTTATCCGGGGTCGGGTCGCGGGGGTAGCAGCTTAAGTAGGGAGGCCCAGACTTCCCTCTCCCCAGCCACTTGGTCCAGCTCTTCCGGGGGAATCCCGAGGCGTTCCCATGCCAGCCGAGAAACATAGTCCCTCCAGCGTGTCCTGGGTCTTCCTCTGGGCCTCCTTCCGGTGGGACGTGTCCGGAACACCTCACCAGGGAGGCGTCCAGAAGGCATCCTAAACAGATGCCCAAGCCACCTCAACTGGCTCCTCTCGACGTGGAGAAGCAGCGGCTCTACTCCGAGTCCCTCCCGGATGATCGAGCTTCTCACCCTATCTCTAAGGGAGAGCCCAGACACCCTGCGGAGAAAACTCATTTTGGCCGCTTGTATCCGAGATCTCATTCTTTTGGTCACAACCCAAAGCTCGTGACCATAGATGAGGGTGGGAACGTAGATCGATCGGTAAATTGAGAGCTTCGCCTTAAAACAACTCTAATTTCCAAAATGTCATTGTGTTCATGCAAGCACTGTAATTAACCTTTAAATTGCTGTAGGTTTTACATTACATAGTTGTTTACACAAAATTGTATTATTATTGTTATTGGCAAGCTCAAATTGGTCTGTAGCAATTTTGGACTCCTTGCAGAAATTTGTTAACATTTGAGCTAGGAATAAGCAGTAATTTAAACAATTCAAAGTGAAAATGGGTGAATTTGAAGAATTAATGCAAACTAAAGTATTTTTTTAATTTGTTGGTTTTAGTTTAGTTTTTGTTACACAGAAGTCTGGTAGCGCTGCATGTCAAGTTGTTTCCTAACAGTGCTTTTCAAGTTGAGTTGCTTTTTCTGCCACAACCCTTCAGCCGACCCTGACCTGGCACGATAAATGGTAAATGGACTGTACTTATATAGCGCCTTTCTATCTTATTTCAAGATACTCAAAGCGCTTTACACTACAATCTGTGCCTCATTTACCCATTCATGCAAAGCTACAAAGCTAATTGAACAAATCATTCTAATGAGACTAATCAGTGCTTTAGATCACATTCATACACTGATGGGACACACATCAGAGGCTATGAGGGGTTCAGTGTCTTGCCCAGGGACACTTCGGCATGTGACTGCTGGTGGAGTCGAACCCCCAACTCTCGCATTGGAGGACGACTGCTCTAACCACTCAGCCACAGCCGCCCCGCCAATGCTGAGGTTTACTGTCAGAATATGTGTGCCCCAAATAAATACTTCACATTTCTGCTACCTCTGTATCTGTATCTGAATCTGTAGAAAGTTGTGCTTAAATCCTAAACTCACATAATGTTGACTCTTTTTCTCATTTTGTTTGTGTCCCCTCTCCTCTGCCAGGACCTGTGGTTACCCTACTTCAACATTACAACAGATATCACTGCCTCCTCCATGAGAGTCCACACTGATGGTGGGTGATGTTCTAATGTCTTGTTCTTCTACCTCTTTTCCTCTCAAAATGTCTGATTCATTGAGTTAGGACTTGAAAACACAAAAAGATAAATAAAATTGTGTGTGTATGTATGTTTGTATGTATATATATTTTTTCCATTTACCCTTTATTTATACAGGTAGTCTCATTGAGTCATGAGAACTCATTTTCAAGAGAGACCTATTTTTGGGAGCAGATGGTGGGGATTAATGGCCTTGCTCATGGGCCCAGAGTGGGGCAAATGAGGTTGGAGGCAGGTTTGGAGGTGTGTTTGTTTCACCTTTTCCACACACATTTTGATGTTGATGGTACCGGGAGGTGAACCTACAACTTTCTGATCGCAAGCCCATATTCTCTAACCTCTGCGTGTGGTGGAGTATATATATATATATATA